TCATATATCTTATGTTCATGAAAACATAAATATCTCAAGATATGTTCTATGATATTGTTTTAGGATTATATCAGAACAAGTGTCCTTACTAGTATTAGTCCTGCTTTAGCTGCAGCCAGCTGAGTTAGAACCCACTCATAACAGTTGGAGCTCCAGATTGCCAGACGTTCTCCAGGTCTCAGTCCAAGCTCTAAGAGACTTGCTGCTAGCTGATCACTCTTTGGTACAAAAAAAACAAAACATTACCAAGTTAGGAGGATATCTGGCTTAAGGAGTTAAAGATTTAAATAAAATATGATCTTCAAGAAACTTTTGAGTCATGCAGACTGAAGTTCTGCAGATTTGTATGGATTATCCAAACATACGATTTTATATGGATTATCTATGCATATGGTATTATGTGGATTATCCAAACATACGATTTTATATGGATTATCTATGCATATGGGATTATGTGGATTATCCAAACATACGATTTTATGTGGATTATCCAAACATACGATTTTATATGGATTATCCAAGCATATGAGATTATATGGATTACCCAAACACGTGGCGGTATATGATTTATCTAAATATATTAGACAATGTGGATTATCCCAAGTACAAGACTAAATGGTTTATCCGAACATACGAGACCATGTGGATTATCCAAGTATACAAGACTATGTATCATATTTGGCTCTTCAATCGTTTTATTCACTCTATTTAATCTGTTTTTCAAGGGGTAGAATAAAACAATTATCATACAACCAGTAAGAAAGTCGAAAACATTTATCAATAATTCATAAAAACTGAGTTTTTTCCAAACGATTTACCTCGAAATATGAGTGTAATATAGATATACAAAATATATTGGACGAACAACTTGCAAACAAACGACAGTACAGACATAGTCACAGTATATCAAAAATAGATGAACTAGTACAACTATTAGTACAGTATGTCTAACAACACATGAACCAGTACAGACACAGTCACAGGATATCAAAAACAGATGAACTAGTACAACTATAAGTACAGTATGTCTAACAACACTTGAACCACTACAGATACAGTATAGTATATCTAAAACACTTGAACCAGTACAGATACAGGTACGGTATATCTAACAACACATTAACCATTACAGATACAAGTACAGTATATCTAACAACACATTAACCAGTTACAGATACAGGGACAGTATATCTAACAACACAGGAACCATTACAGATACAGGTATGGTATATCTAACAACTCACGAACCATTACAGATACGTTACAGTACATCTAACAACACATGAAACAGTACAGATACAGGTACGGTATATCTAACAACACATGAACCAGTACAGATACTGTGCGGTATATCTAACAAAACATGAACAGTACAGTATATCTAGCAAGATATGAACCAATACAGATACAGTATATCTAGCAACACATGAACCAGTACAACTAAGTAAGATGTTAGGTGTATAATATTTTGTAAATACATCACCAACACATTTAAAAGTGATGGAGTAAGATGGTAGGTTTAGTATATTTTGTAAATACATCACCAACACATTTAAAAGTGATGGAGTAAGATGTTAGGTTTAGAATATTTTGTAAATACATCACTAAGTTACGTACTTCTTGATTAGTTTCCAAAAAGGTGCGACGGATATTCTGATGACAGAAAACAAAAGCTAATTGGTCGCCAACTTCGTCAGATACTTTGTTTAGAGCTTGACCAATAGTGGATCCGATAAGAACACTGTCTCCGTGACCATAGTTGTAGCTTATTTTAAACTTTTCCCCATTGGTTGCTAGGCACCTGGAAACATCAGATATATTTACGATCTTATTATTGACATGATTGTAAGTAACGTAACAATAGACATTTTGTAAGAAATATTGAGATTATTGTAATTACTAATATGTTACGTTCTTTATATAAAAACAAGAATTTTATTAACAAAACCCAAACATGGTTTTCTTTCCAAAACGATCTTGTTGGATAAAGTTTCTGTGTCCTCGAAGTGTAATAAAGGTACTTCTTAAAATTGTTGTTTTGTCTCTCTAAATAGTTCACCTTCCTCTCACATTTATTTTCTTCAATGTCCTCCATTGGTTAAGCCTGCAGGTTTACGACGATAAAACTGGGTTTAGATACCCGTGTGGGACAATGCACAGATAACCTGTTTTCCAGCTATGCGTTTAACAACAGTAGAACTAACCAAATCAAACCTTTTTTTTAATTTTCCACTTTCTATATCTCGGACTATTTTGATTCAAACTTTTACATATTGCTCTATTGAACCCTTACGTCACGTACCAAAGTTCAAGGCAAGTTGATTAAGAAATACACGAGATATAAGACTACAATTTTGATTGAATTTCTTCCTATCTTATTTTCTTCGCTCCGAAAGTATGGAAACTTTACTTGATAGAAAAACATACTTAACGTTAGTATTCACGTGGTAAATCCACACTTTCACATATAGGTTCATGGTACTGCATTCACGTGGTAAGTCCACAGTTTCACAGATAAGTTTGTGGTAATTTATCCACGTGGTAAATCCCCACTTTCACATATAGGTTCATGGTACTGCATTCACGTGGTAAATCCACTCTTTCACATATAGGTTTGTGGTTATGTATTCATGTGGTAAATCCACACTTTCACATATAGGTTTGTGGTAATGTATTCACGTGGTAAATCCACAGTTTCACAGATAAGTTTGTGGTAATGTATTCACATGGTAAATCCACCGTTTCACATATAGGTTTGTGGTTATGTATCCACGTGGTAAACCCACCGTTTCACATATAGGTTTATGGTTATGTATTCACGTGGTAAATTCACACTTTCACATATAGGTTTATGGTAATGTATTCACATGGTAAATCCACACTTTCACATATAGGTTTATGGTAATGTATTCACGTGGTAAATCCTCACTTTCACATATAGGTTTGTGGTTATGTATTCACGTGGTAAATCCACAGTTTCACAGATAAGTTTGTGGTAATTTATCCACGTGGTAAATCCACACTTTCACATACAGGTTTATGGTAATGTATTCACGTGGTAAATCCACACTTTCACATGAAGTTAAAGTTTCTAATTTTGTTATAAGTTTTTGGATTTCGTGTCTTCAGAACCATTTCTTGGGCATCAGATCAATAATGTTCGGTAACTAAAGGCGAAGCCACGATGACTGGGGTTTAACGTGGATTAGAGGTTGGAATATTCAGCCTGAATGTCGCTTTGTGCGCACACTGGTTCATTATATGATCATATAAGTGATCTCTAGGTAACCTTCAGACCCACCACAAGAACTTTGAACCGAACTGCTGAAAGGGCAAAGCACCTTTAACAACATCATATCTCGGAATGTGGACACACTGACCACTAGGTGATCTACAGCGCGGAGGTTTTAAATAAGCGTTATCTATATAGTAATGATGTACACCAGAAATGGTGCGTAAAATATAAAAACATAATATTACATCTAAATATTGATATCCATATAAACCTTATATGTTGTAAACCTTAAGAAAACACAATAAAAACATACACTGGAAGTCTTCATATCTATAAATATACAGACACTCTCGAAGTATTAATATCCATATGACCAGAACACACATTCGAAATGTTAATATCAATATAAACACAACACACTCGAAGTGTTAATATCTAAGTAAACACAAGATACAATGGAACTGTTAATACACAATCGAAGTATTAAAATCTATAGAAACAGAACACACATTTGAGGCGTTAATATCTATATGAAAAAACACACGTTCGAAATGTTAATAGCTATATAAATATAACATACGCTAGAAGTGTTAATCTCTATATAAACACTACACACACTACCAACGTTAATATGTATGTAAACATAATATACACTAGAAGTGTTAATCTCTATATAAACACTACACACACTACCAACGTTAATATGTATGTAAACAGTTCACGTCTATACACATGTGTACTTACCTATATAGCGGAGTTCTTAAAGCTCCCGACAACGAAGAACTAATAGTTCTAGTGATAGCCGATATAGATCGTACCGTAAACATTTTGAACTCTCTAAGATAATGACAAACTAAACACGAAGGTTTTGGTTACTTTATAGTTCAGCACGTGGGGTATCATATGACGTAAGCTGCCGTAATCCTATTGGACGTTGTTCTCTTCCAAAAACTTATCGTATTTTGTGTATTCGTTTGTCTTATCTCTGTTCAACTTCAATGAGTTACAGACTGCATAATTCAATGTAAAACACGTGCACGACTGGTTTGTTCTTTGATAAACTAAATACAAGAACAATCCCGACTTACAGATAAGTTTGTTTTTTGTTTCCAAGTGCAGATACACAGTATGATAGTTATACTCCACGTAATATCTTCAGTCGGTTATTATACTCAATCTTATCACGTAGTATGAAGACTGTTTGTTTAGACCAAAACCACACTGAAC